GCCGGGCCACGGCTGACCAGCGTCCCCCGCAGCGAGGCCGTCTGGGAGAGCATGGCGCGCATGTGCGTGAAGACGCGGCGGCTGGACGTGGCCAGGGTGTGCCTGGGCAACATGGCCCACGCGCGGGGGGCCCGGGCCCTGCGCCAGGCTGAGCAGGAGCCTGAGCTGGAGGCCAGGGTGGCCATGCTGGCCATACAGCTGGGCATGCTGGTGAGCAGCGGAGGAGGGGCCCAGAGGGAGGGGGCAGGGCTGGCCGCTGGGGTCAGTCTGACCGGGCCTGCCTGCCCGGCTGGCGTGACCAGCACAGCTGCATCACCTGGGCCCAGGCAGCTGCGGGCAGGGACCTGCCGGCAGCTGGTGGCTGACGCTGGCCGCCCGCAGGACGACGCCGAGCAGCTGTACGAGCAGTGTGGACGCTACGACCTGCTCAACAAGCTGCTCCAGGCCAGCGGGCAGTGGCAGCGGGCACTGGAGCTGGCCGAGCGACGGGACCGTGTGCACCTGCGCTCCACGCACTACAGCTACGCGCGGCACCTGGAGGCCAGTGGGGACCGCAGCCGGGCCCTCAGCCAGTGAGTGCCGGGGCCCCCCCCGCGGCCAGGGATGGGGTCCCTGCGTGCCGGCCCTCCTGGACGGCCCCGACGGCAGCTCCAGGAGCCCTGGGCTGCCCCCCCAGCCCCATTCAGGGACCCCTGGGGGCTGACCTGGCCAGGGCCACCTGCCCGGCCCCGGCGCCCGCCTGGGTGCCAGGGCTGAGCCGCGCGCCTCCTGCAGCTACGAGAAGTCGGACACGCACCGCTTCGAGGTGCCCCGGATGCTGTCCGAGGACCTGCCGTCGCTGGAGCTCTACGTTGACAAGATGAAGGACAGGTGCGCCCACCCCGCGGCGGGGGCAGGGGGGGGGCGCGGGCGGGGCCGGCACTGAGGCGCCGCTGCAGGGCGCTGTGGCGCTGGTGGGCGCAGTACCTGGAGAGCCAGGCGGACATGGCGGCCGCGCTGCACTACTACGCGCTGGCGCAGGACCCCTTCTCCCTGGTGCGCATCCACTGCTTCCAGGACAACGTGCAGAAGGTCGGCCCCGGGGCGCGCGGGCGCGCGG